CATGAATTCATAGACCAAAATCAGGTTTCATTATTGCTTTTATAACATTTTTATAATTTGTCTGACTATAAAAAATATAATGTTGCTTAGATTATGGAATATATTGCTTATAATTTACAGTTCTCAAATTTTGTAAATCTCACAATCTAATAGCTGTATATGAATAACCTTCACTGAGTATTATTACTTTCATTAATAGTATGCTGGCATAACAGTCGACTTTTTATTTTAAATTTTATGCAAATTTTCTACATTACTTAAACATTTAATCTAACAGAAATCTGAATTTTTTGTAATAAAAATTCTATAATAAAAGTAAAAGTACAATTTATATATATAAAATTTGACTTCATGGCAAGCACTTAGATACTGATTTCAATGTCTTTAAATGTAATTATTATAAAGTTTAGATATATTTTTATTAAGATAAACTCTTATAAAGTTCTGATGTACAGAACAGAAGGCACACTTTGTGCTTATGAACACAACCACTTGTGGCAAGATAACTTATGATAACAATTATGTTCAAATGTAAAATTTAAATTCAAATAAATTTGTAGCCAAAGACTACACAAATCAATTTAATGCATAGTCAAAACTTAACCGGCATGGAATTCAACTATAATGCAGGACTGAAGACTACAAATCTTATCTTATCTAGCAACCTGTAACGTGGCCTCGAAAGGCAAAACACGGTTTGTTTTACAAACTAAAAACTTCATTTGGGTTTTGGTGGGAAAACGGATGGGGAAATTGACAGTAAAAGTCCCAAACATAAAAAAACTCTGGTTACAAAATAAAAGAATGTTTCATTATACTTTGTTCCCTGATTAATTATTCACTACATGAAATAGTGTAATGCATTTTTGTTTGTATCATATACAAGTTATTTATTTTATTTTTAAATGCTGTCCAAAACTGAACAGGATTTTGCAAACATATTGACCATATTTTTTTACCTGTAGATGCATCACTTCTTCACTTCAGAAGTAAGATTTAGAATTAAGAAATAAGAAGAGAGAACAGTATTTATGAATAGAAAATAAATATATGCTGGCTAGCAGAAGAACAATGCCTTCATAAAGGACATTTTAAGAGAAACTCGCTCAGATTCACATTGCATGTAAGGAAAACCACAAAAACTCCCACATAGCCAGCTTGAACTACCACTGTTCAGTGGCGTATCACTCCACCACTAGTGGATTTCAATGACTGTTCGAATATTTCACAGAAATCAGTTATGATGATTGTTGTTGTATATGATTACCATTGGTACAAAATTTACTCATTATGATAATTTAATTTTAGCTTTTAAATTATAATCATAAATTACTTGTAATAAATTGAGTGATTAAAAAATACACACTTCTTAATATTTTTACCATTTACAAAATTTAATCATAAAAAGTATTTCTAACACTGGTACAAAATTTACTTGTTATAATTTAAATTGATTTCCTTCACTTTGGAATATTTTTTTATTTTCTTTTAATAACAGAATCTTAGAAACTAAAATAACATATACTAGTTTGAAATGTATATATGAACCTTTGTAAATTTCATTATTCATAACATAAAATTAACTTTTTTGTAAATTTAAAATATTAGCTAAATATTAATATAATATAAATATTAACTAACTACTTAAAAATTAATATTTAATACATTAATATTATATTTAGTAATTTAAAATATTAACCTTTTGTAAATTTCATTACTCATAACATAATCACTGCCATAAATTCATTTACAGTAGTGTTTCAAGAATTTATCATAGCAGTACTAGAAATGTTGAAAATTAGAGAAAAACTGTTTATTCTAATTAAGAGCTTATTTTTTAAGATTGTTATTTAGTCTAGATCGGGTTTTGTTGACAATCCGCCATTTTTTTCCGATTTTCAAAGCCGAGTCTACCTTGGCGACCGATGTTTGTCGCCAAATCAAAAAATTGCCAAAAGGACCAATACTAAAGCTGTTCCCCTCATTTTCTTGATAATTCTAAAATAACTGAAAAGCATTTTCTTGAATTTAAAATTTCCACTTAATATCCCATACTATTTGGTATTAACTCCACTCATCTTCTACTTATTGACAAGAAAACCTGCAAATAATGAAGATTTTGGAACGTTGTAGTTCACATGATGTTGAATAATTACAGTAAGTACAGCCTTTTCATCAAAAACTGATGGAGAGTGAATAATTAAAATTAAAATAAATAATTAGCACTCTCTCTGGCTTGAGCAAAGATGAATATTTATTCTTCTAAACATTCTAAAAGTATAAAACGATTGATAAATGCATTTTTAAGTATTTGTAACACACCAAAAATCTATAAATATTTGAAAATTCATTGAAATCCTTAAACAGAAAAGAGAAAATTTCTGATTTTCTGGAACATAAAAATGTTTGAAGATTTTGTTGTCATGTACAGGAAAAAAGTGCTAAAAGATTATATAGAAATGCTCATGTACACTTTTGCAAATAAACAAATATAGAATTTTAGGAAATATTCACTTATTTTCTATTTTGGTTGCAATATTATTCAGACATTAATCTTTTCTATACTGAGTACTTGTGACACGAAATAAATTAGATAAGGAAAATAAATAATCATTTTAGTATTTGACTAGGAATTAAGTTTCATTAATAAAAAAATGGTTTAAAAAATTATCAAAAATATACATCTAAATTAAAATTACAAGAATTAAATTATCTTGGTAGTAAATTACGAATGATTTCTTAATAGCAGAATATTGTAGGAACCTACCAAATTGGTAATGAAACACTCAGTTCAACCTTTACGATTTTACTAAAAATACAACAAAAACTTCTGTGTATATAAATAAAATTCTACCTGAAATTGTGCATATAAAGGCCAATGTGACTTTTTTTTCCCAAATATTGCCATGATATATAATAAAACTAATTAAAATGTAATCATGGTAGTTATATATCATTAACTTTTCTCTTTGAATGTTATAAAGAAGCACTATTTAACTCAAAGGGAAACATTTTCCCAAACAATAATTCTTATTTTATTTACGGTTTAAATCAAAACATTTTAAAAATTCATATTTTTTAAGATGATGCGATACTGATATTTCTTAGGCATGCCTCCTGTAACACATCATATATTTTATTACATGCAAAATTATTCCTAAAGTAAATCCTAGGGTTTTCAGCACACGGGGACAACTGAAGTTTTTGTGCTCTCCCCTCCTGTTTGCCACGAGTGAAACAAATTTCATTCTTAAAAATTCGTAATATCAGTTTGCCGCCCACTGGAAGCTGCGCCCGGGGACAAATGTTCCCTCTTGCCTCGCTCTAGCTATGCCCCTATAAATCAGTGGTAGCAATAACTTAAAGAATGGAATAAAAAATCCATGTGAAGTGGGTTAAATATCTGCAACCTACCTATGATTTCATCACTGTCGAAAAAATTAATTTATTACAGTAGCATACTAAGGAAGCTGAATCTTCCATGCACACAGCAAATTTATTAAATCAACGAACATAACTGACAGCTAAAAATTATTTTGGAGTATTTAGAAAGCAAGGTAAAAGATAAGAACTTTAGGGAAATATCTGAAAATTCTGTAATTTGCAGTGATAACAGGATAAAAAAGATAATATTTTCTAATGTCTGAAAGATACCAACAAGGAAGTTCCTCGCAAAAAAAATAATAAATAAATAAATAAAATACAATATTATTACAATTATTTACAAACAAATTCCACAGCAACTGAAACTTTTAAGATTTGTGCTCGAAAATTTAGTTATGATGCAAGAAGGTCAGCAGCTTGAAACCTTTTTATCAAGATTATTATTTTAAAATAAATAATGGAGTTAATTCATAATAATTACAAATTAAATAACTAAATTATTCTATTAAAATTAATAAAATTAAAAATATTAAAAATAATGTCATCTCTAAACATGTCATCCAAGATAAACTATTACTAAGTTAGGTTGCCTTCTTGGCAGGCCATGGATAAGGGTTCCACAACCTGCTAAAACCACTTTTACTTTAATAGTTCAATATTCAGTTTTTAGTGTTATTATTTTATAAAGCATTCTGCTACTCAATTTATCACCATTCTTTAGTACTACCTACTAAATACAAAAATTTTATTCATAAAGATGTGGAACTCTTTATTTTTAACCCAGTGGTAGCATAATGAATATTTTATTAAATGGAATTTTTTCTTTTACAAAAACTATAAAAAATTAGATTTTGTTTTTACACAAATTCTTCAATTCATAGAGTTGAAATTGTTCTCATAGAATTCTCTAATTTACTTTTAAAAACTTTGTAATTTGAAGTACATGCTCAGGAACATTAATTGAGAAATTGAAAGATTATTGTTACATTTTTTCAAAATATACCTTGTAAACATCCACATTTCTAGCATGAATACACACACACATACCCTCCCCTCCCTCCCAAAAAGAAAGAGGAATGGAAACAATTATTTTGTAATTCTTTAAGAGTGGTAATATTTTTAGTTAGGTATCTTAACAAAATTTTCATACATATCTAATATGAGATTTTAGAATGAAATGTGTCTTGGATTTGAAGTAGCTCTGGCCAAAAAACAGAGGTTCTTTCCCCTGGCCCACAGTTTTCACATAAACATGGTGTTCTGCTGCCCTCTGTGAATGCATATTGCAGTTATTTGTTATTGGCTGTGGTGGTAAGTGTCTTATTGCAAGCACTATAACTGGCTGTAAAAAATAGCAGAACCAGAAGAATTTGATCTACTGTCATCTCGTTTGCAGCTTAAACCATATTTTGAGCTGTGCAGCCTGACATGGAGATTTTATTATGACTGCTAACATTATAGATGTAACAGTCATCACACCATAATTCAACAATTATAATGTAAATGCTAAAGGCCAGAAAAAATGTAAAATTAGATTTATTTTACATTTTTAAACAGAATGAGTTTTCTTCAAGAAGTAATTTTTCAAGGCATAATTTTAAGATTTTAATTTAAATTTCTAATAATTTACATACAGAACAAATAAAAATAAAGAAAAGCATATATAATTTGTGACTAGAACGTCACAAAAATGCATAAAAATAAAAATTGAAAACAAAGAGACTAGCTCTAACTTGATTAAAATATTTCCACAAAAATATTTACAAAGCAAAAAGTTTGGGTTTTACATAACAAATGCTGTTTTGATTCAGAGGGTAACATAATAATCTACTTTCAGAATAAATGTTCGAATCTCCATTGGTTTCAGTGTTATAATTAGATGACCTTCTTCCCCATCCTGCATAGAAAAACTTTCATTTGAATCAGCTTGCAAAACTAGGGGAAAAAAAAAAAAAGAAAAAAATAGAGAAACCATATTTATTTAGATTTAGTAAAAAGAACGCTTTTTTAATAACATGTCATTAGAGTGATAAAATACAACTTTAAATTTTTCAGTTACGGAAAACAAGTACCTAAGGATTCTATATGTTACATTTTCCAAGGCATATAAACCTTAACCGGAAGATAGGAGCAACATAATTCAATCATTTTTAAAGCAAAAAATGCACAATTTACAAACATATAAGAGTAAAGAAATTGAGATCACTGAGCTGGTAACAGAGTGGATATATATATATATATATATATGTTTGGTGCGGTCGACTGCAACCAAAATACGATAAAATTTCAATGTTCTGAGGCTACTCATTTTTGAGTTATACGAGATACGAACGTACGTACAGACGCCGCGAAAAATTCTCTTCAGAATTAATTTAAAATCAGTTTTATAATTTTTTTGAGGGAAAAACGGTCCTTTATTCTGTCCTTGCATGCAGACGTCACGCAAAAACATCGTTAAACTGCATTCGATAGAGGTCAAAATGGATATTTTCGTTGAAATATGCTGCCTGATACTTTTCGCGATTACAATACTGCTTTTTTACTTCGTACAAGGAAGTAACTAGACAAGCCTATTTAAATTTAAAAATTCACTTGAAGTAATCTATATTAAGATAAGAGTTATCCTTTTCTCAGTACTCCTTCATAATTACTGCTGGCAATTTATTCAGGCCAAATGGCAGAAATCTAATGAAATCTCAATTAGATCTCTGTTAAAATTGACGGTCTTCTTTTAAACTATACCAGCTTCCATTGAGATTGCATAACTGATGTGAATACCATGATAAGACGAAAGAAATCGGATATAATTTATCTTAAAACCAACTTAGGAATAATTCTCACACTTCAGGAATAAGATCTGGTTAATTTTATCACAACAGCAATCAATCCACAGAGCTCTGAAGAAACAATAGGTTTTGGTTCCTTTTTCCTTAACGTCGGTACCCATGCTACATTCCTGGGCTTTTGTTTACATTCTGGAGAGGCTCAAATGAGGAGAACGGCAGTCTTGTCAGAGATCGAAGCAAGTTTAGTCAGTATACCTTCAGTTTTAGCTGCAACACGGAGAAAGGGAAAATTTTTCTGCTGCTTGAAATTAGGAATGCGTATGAACGGCGGGATGATTTTCATTTTATTTATTCATTAATTTTTGTTACAATAATTTCAGTCTTTAGATACTTAGATTTTTAAATTTAATCCCTCTCGAAGGGGTCATTGTTTGCTCCGTAAAAATCAGTTTTTTCCTAAAGCTAAACTTGTGCATTTGTGATTTATTGCTAGGAATCGTTTTATAATAATAATAAAAATAATTATTATTTTATTTGATAAGAATGTTGAAGAGGACATGTTTCAGATGGCTTTTCTCGCTCATTACATGAATTTTTTTAATGTGATTATTGATATATTCGTAATGTTGGTGATTCACTCCAGTAATTTATTACTTTTATTTGAAGCTTGACTGTGCTTTCTAACTAAATTCTATTTAATTTGAACGCTGCTGGAGTTCTCTCTCTCTCTCTCTTTTTTTTTTTTTGTTAATGTGGTCTCACATTGTGTATGGATCTCTGTACTCATTTGTTTTTTTATTTTAATTTTTACTTTCCTGTCTTAAAATTAGCTTCCTAACTAGATTTTAAATTATTAGTTAACTGGATCTCCATTATTATTATTATTTGCTTTTCCAGCCCTTTCAACTAGCTCAAGCACACTTACAGGTTTCAAACCACCACACTTCTGATCAGAGAATTTTTAAGCTTTGTTTTTACCTCTGGTGAGAAACAAATATTCAGGAGTGCTCAATTGTTGGAACGAAGCATCTCCCTCTTTTCTAATCGCTTTACATTTAGATTAGGTTAATTTTTCTAACACCTATCTTAACATAAATTGCATTATATTTACAACAACACATTAGGGCTTTCATTATAAGGTGATAGGTCACATGGACTTCTCCATTTTTTGACACTTTGTTTGTTGCACTTCAGGATACATTCTTGGTTAGGTTATTTCACACTTCTGATTGTTCTTCTCTATCTTACTGTAAATATTGTTTTTAGATATATAGTCTGGGCCTTATTTTTTCTTTCTTTTAAACCCACTTTCGTATCTGGCTTTAAAAAATTTTATATCAAATGTTACAAAATTATTTTTCAGCCAAACAAAATTGCCCTCTTCCTATTTGCCTTTCCTTCGCACCTAAACTTGATTTTTCACTCTGCGTGCAAAAAGACTTTTATGAGTGTAAAACAAGACATCAGTCTACTTTGTCTGTTTGTTTGCATGCTTTTTAATTTAAAACATTTGTTCTTTTCTGTTGCATTTTATTATATTAAAACTGAGCTAACTTTGCTTTATTTAACTAGGTTTAACCATGCCTAGTGTGCTAGCAAGCCGGCATCTACCATCAGACGATATCGCTTCAAGAATTGTCATCGTATCGTCCAAGCCTTTGGTGGCAGTTGTTGGACCGGTTTTTTTCCTCTTCTGCTGCTGGCGTTCGGGGGTGTAGGACGGGCTTCGGTCTGTCCTCTCCCTGGCCGAAATATGATGTGCCATTTTTTTTCCTGCTGCTTTTTGCTGCTCCTTCAATGCTGTCTGCCATAGATGAAAATCCTTTTAGTGAGATTTTTACATGAAGATTCAAGAAATATTACTTACTCCTGTTTCCTATACATCATTGCAGAAAAGTAATTTCTTGAGCTTCTTCCTCCTTTCCAGAACTCTTCGCGCGCCACGTGTTTGTGAGATTTCAAACTTCCTGATTTAAAGAAGAAAATGCAGAAATACCAGGATTGATCAAGTATGCTTAATGACTGCCATCAAATTTTGATTGTTCCTTTTTACACCAAGACTTTGTTTCGAGCGGATCCAGATAGATTGACTTTATTCTCCGTGCAGTGTTAACTCTAGTGATGCGCATCACTCGTGCTTGATGTGCAAATATTTTTCGTCTGTCTGGTTGATAAAATTATTTATATTAATGCTTATCTCAATATCAAAGATGAAGAATAAAATATAATTGATTTGGTAACATACAGTAGTCATACTCTGGGGTAAGTACTTTATTTTGCTATCCTCTGTGGGTCACATATTTTATCCCTATCATTCGGGTTATTGCGGAAACAACGTGATGTACTCTTAATCATTGTTGTAATTTCATCGCTGATAATTACATAAGAAATTAAAATATATAAATATTTTTCACAACATATATATAAATATTTTCACTGCTACAAATATTTTCACTACTTATAGCTTTTCTCAATTAATATTTTCACCACATATGGTGCCATAATAATTATTTTCACTACATATACTAATATTTTTTACTACATATGGTGTCGTAATTATTTTTACTACTAGATATATTTTTACAACATATGGTGCCGTGACAAAAGAAATAACTAAAAATCATTTAGTTCAGGTTGAGAATTCAAATAAAATGTGTGACCTATAGTATATTTGCTACACATATGATTTATATTGTTGAAAATTTATGATAAATGATAGGTACTATGCCATGAAAGAGTAATTCTATTTTGGATAATTCAAAAATTCAATTTTCATATGTATTGTTATATATATGTGCATATTTAAAGAAAGTTTTAAGATATTTGAATCAAAAGCTGATCTCAGTAATTTCATTGGATTGTGGTATGTAATGATAAAATAATGTTCAGCAGTATTAGAATCCGGAAGTGTTTATGATCAATGTACTTATATTGCATTACTAATTTGATATATGCATGGTTGAAGTTACAGGAGATCCTAATTAATTACTAAAAAAAAAAAAAAAAAACTCTATAAAAAAAATTACCTTAACTTTGCTATCTACTCTTATATGCATGTTTGGTAAATGTATATGTAAATTATCAGAGAGAGTGCTAAGTGTTTGTGTAAAATAATGTAGGTCTCAATAACATTAAAATAGAAATAGCAGATTGTAAGGTAATGCAACATAAGTAACTATATTTCTTCATCCATGTCAAAGCTTAAAGGTAGATCTAACACTGATATGGCAACTTCCCTAGCTTCTGCTCTGCCCACATTTAGTGGCAACTTATCTGAAAATGTAAATTTCTTTCTTGATCAAATAAATAGTGTTGCTAAATTAGAAAAATGGTCAGATGAAAGAAAAATAATCATTCTGAAAATAAACTGTAGGGATAAAGCTCTAGATTTCCTAATTAATGATCCAAGAGTGGCTAAGGAAAATAAATTTGAAAATTTAGAAAAATTATTAAAGAATAAATTTGCACGCGTTGAATCCTTTCAGGACAAGTTTGCAAAAAATAAAAGATGTAATAATAGAAACTCAAACAAATTGTTGATGTCTTGTAACTCAGAAAATTCTAATTATCTGCCAATAATCAAACTTAAAATTGGTTCTCAGACTTATGAAGCTCTTCTTGATACTGGTGCAAATTTATCTTTAGTCCAACCAGATGTTATTGAGGAAATTAAACAATTCACTAAAGTTGAATTTGTTTCTCGGATGGTAAGAATAAAAACTATTGAAGATTCATGCATCCCTTACATGTCTGCAGTTAATTTAAAATTCAAAATTCAAAGTAAATGGTTCACTAATTTATTTTATGTCACCCAAAACAATTGGAATTCTACTTATCAGATAATCCTAGGTTATGACTTCATTCAAAGTAACAAAATTTTGTTAGATTCCATAAATAAGAAACTCATAGTAGATAATACTCAATTGGACTTTGAAGAAAATTATCCCAATAAAAAATTAAGCAACTCAGTTAATGCAAGAAGAAAAAATTGTAATTTAAACTCATTAAGAATGGTTTCTAATATAACTGTCCAGCCAGGTCAATCTCAAATCATTTCTTTAGCTGTTCCTGAAGCTTTAAAACAATTTAAAGAAATTTTGCTTTCTCCAAAGCCATCAAAAAATAAGTTCCATATCAATGAATCTTTAC